ACACACGCACACGCACGCGCACGCACACGCGCACACACACACAACACACACACACCCACACACAACACACACACACAACACACACACACACACACACACACGCGCACACATGCACACAAATACGCGCACGCGCAAGTCTCGTTCCTCCTCTTTTCCGCCGCCGCGGCCCGTGCAGGCAGCCCCTGAGCCTGCGGAGGGCCGAGATACATGGACTAAATGAAATTGTGGCGTCCGCGGTGTGCGCCCGCTAGAAGGCAGGGGAAAGCCGAGTAGAGGCAAGCCCGTGTTCGCCAATTGGGAATGGTGTGGGGGGGGAGGAATGGAAACGCTAATGGCTGAAACGGAAGGCCCCGCCGCCGAGGCGGGGCCTTCGCCGGGGGTGGGGTAGCGAGGCAGCCACGCGCAAAGAGGGTGGGTGGGGGGAACGGGGGGAGGGCTTCTTAGAAGCACCCCTGCTTCTTAGAAGGCGCGGGCCCTATCTATGGATGTAAGGCTGGCGCCGTCTAAGAAGCAGCCTCCTTCTAAGAAGCCCTCCCCCCTCCCCCCACCCCCTTGTGCGCGCCGCCAAGAGGGGCCCGGTGTTGCCAGAAGTGCCCCTGGCCCGAGGTGCCCCCGGAGTTCCAGGAGGCCCCCAGGGTTCCCAGAGCACCCCATCACCCATCACGAGGCCCAAGGGGGCCCCAGGGGCTCCAAAATGAGGCAGAAAGCTGGGGACACCTTGGGCGAGGGGTGCCCTCAGTAACCCCCGAAAAGAGATGAGGAGGAGCAGGATCGGGTCGCGCGAAAGGGGGGGGTTTGGCCAATGGGGGGGGTCCAGAATTTGATGCCTGCTGCTGGTCCGTCACGCCGCGCAGCGGAGCCGCGCTCGCTGTACCAGGAGCGCCGATGCTCCCTTCGCCTTCCCGCCCTTCGCATCTCCAGCCCACCTACCTGGGCGAAGGTACACATCATCTCTCATCTCTTAACCCGAGCGTGTCCGGGCGAAGGCACACATTCGACGTCTGGAGCATGCGCATGCGCGACGTGCGCCGCACCCAGCTGGGCGTTATCTTTGATCAGCGGGTGGCCCTCGGTCAACGACGCCGCCCAGCTGGGTGCAGCAAACTCACGGCAAACGCGCTACAGCAGCTGATTTCAGACCTTTTTCTCCTTGATTTGAATATGTGAATAGTTTCGGCGTTGCTACGTCGAGGTGTTCGGCGAGGAGTAGAAGTACATGCAGTTGAGTCAGGCACCAAGCTAGCTGCATGGAGCTAGCTCGCGCGCGAAACCAGGCACATACGGGCCGGACGAAAGGGGGGGATAGGAAAAAGGGGGGGTACGAAATCTGCTGCATGCAGCAGGTTTCGGCCCCGCCACCGGGCCCATTCCTCGATACATGGGCACCTCCCGGCGCCGGGAGGCGCCGGGACAGTCAGCTACGCCAGCTGGTTCTCAATCCCCCCCTCTGCTATCCCCCCCTTTCTCGCCCAGCGCGAGAAACCAGCCACGTACAGCCAGAATCGCCAGCTGATTCTCAGACCCCCCTTTTGTTATCCCCCCCTTTCGCCCTGCCCGAGAAAAAAAACAACCACATATACCTAGCCAGAACCGCGCCGATCGCGAAGTCCGTGCGGCTAGCCTAGCCCGGCGCAGCGCTATGGGTGCGTGTGGCCGCTATAGCCTCCCCGCCGCATCGGCTCCACGTAATCAGCCGGCCGGCCAGGCGCGGAGGACGAACACCTCAGGAGGGAAAAACACAGACACGATTTCGGAAGCTGGGCGAGGGCTGCTAAGACCGTGGCTGCTAAAACGGCCCTCCCGGAAAAAAAAAACAGCTTCCCGGAAGGAGGGGCGGCACGCGAGACAGTCGACGGGCTTCTTCCCGGAAGGAGGAAGGCAACAGGTCGATTTAGCAGCCACGGATTGTAGCAAGACGCAGACACAATGAATCGTCGATTCCCCCGAAAAAATGAAAAATTGGGAGGTGGATGGGAAGACAGAAACCCAGAAGATATGGAAAACTATCGGGAATCCGGTTACGTATTTGTGTCCATTCATTTATGTGTCCCCGGGCCCCTTCAGATCACCTGATGATGGTTGCCAACGCGCCGGTGTTATCATTGTGGCGATGTTTGTTTACGCGCCAAGCTCAAGTGAGAAAATCCCCAACAGTTTGGCCTTTACCATCCCTCCTTGTCGCGCGGCCCGAGGCGAGGAGGAGGGGAACCAGGACGAGGAGAGAGGGCGGACCTCGCGGAGCAGACGTAGCACTCCGCAGTTGCCGGCGAGAGTGATGGGGGCGGGCGCTGGGCGGGTCGCAGGATGGGTCGCAGGGTGGATTGCAGGGTGGGTCTCCAGGGGGTCGCGGGGGGGTCGCGGGCAATGACGCCCGAAATCCACGCGGACTTTTTTGGATCGGTGCTGGCGGCCCTTGGCGGCGCCGCCGGCGCGCTCCGCGCGCCAGGGAGCGTCCAGCTCCGATCCAAGAGATCGGCAAAACCTCCGACAGTTTATTGTTGTGCATGTTTCCCGATCGTCCTGTGCCGGGACTCGTTGGGAATAGAACACTCTAGTTCCCACCTTTTCTCTTCCCGTCTCCCTCTTCCTCCCTGCTTCCTCCTGCGCTGCTCCCTGGGTGGCTGCGAGCTGCGCAATTATCGCCACTCTCGTGGGCTCCTGGGATGTCCAGCGGTGTCGGGGGCCACGTGGGCCCAGCCGAGACCTCGCTGCTCTTTGGGTGGCTGCGAAGCTCGCAACTGTCGTCACTTTCGTTGGTTCGTGGGCGGTCCATCGGAGTCGGGGGCCACGCTGACCCAGCCGGGACCGCGCTGCTCCGTGGGTGCCTGCGAGCTTCCCAGGGTTATCACTAGCCTCCGGCGATGTGCAATTTCCATGTGATTCGGCCTCACCGCTCATTGTCCATATGAAGTTATTCAGGAGGGGAAAAAACACACAGACACAATTAATCGTCGATTCCCCAGAAAGTATAGGAAAATATGGGAAGTGGGGGGAAGACAAAAGCCCAGAAAATATAGGGAAATATGGGGATTTGTTTTAGTTGTGTGTATTTATTGTGTGTGTCCCCGGGCCCCTTCATATCATTCCTGCCAGAGCGGGTTTGACCCCCGCCCCTCCTCCTTGACAGATAACACTATGCGCGCGCTCTCGCGTATGCGAAGTCGCAACATTTCCATAAACTGTTGTGCGCGCAGAGGGACAACGTCCCCACCCGCGCGTCGTCGGCCGCGCATGCCGACATCCCTCAAAATGATTTCGGGGGTGGACAGAACCCCCAACAGTGACACGTCGATTAGTGAATTGTCCGTATTCGGTTCTCGAGAGGGCGCCGTGGCCGTTATTTTCCAGGCTTGCGCCCGCCAGGCTTGGGCCTCAGGTCGTTCTCACTAAACCACGTTTTACTAAAGTGGGGTCTGTCCATCCCCGATGTTAGGCGTCGCACGGATGTCAAGATCGACTGCCCCGCAAGCATGCTAAACCATGTTTTGCATCATGGTTTTTGAAGACACATTTGCGCGCTCTTGCGAACTCTTACCTTACCCCTATTTCCTTCAACATGTTGAGTAAATGCGACCGAGAGGGCCGATCGCGCGCGCGTGCCGGAATCAATCGTACGCATTGGCGCGTTTGCTAAGGGGGGGGCACGATCCTTGTCCACCAAAAAAACATACGGGGCCACTCGCGCCCGTCGGCCGCGCGCGTACGTCGAAATCCGTCTAAAACATTCGTCGCGGACGCGTAGACACCATCGTCGTCTTCGGCGTAATTAGCATCGGCGCCGTGCTCGGCCTTGCCGTCGTCATCGTCATCAGCGTCACAATCGCCTCCAGCATCTCTACGATCATCATCGTGTATGCCGTCGTCGGTCGACGTCGCCATGATACCGCGCCCGCCCGAGCCACCGACTTGCACTGAAGTGCCCGCGCGTTAGCGGGCCTGCGAGACGCGCTGGGAGGTGCCCAGCGGGCAGCGCCACCGCGGCCGCGTCGGTTGCGCCAGACTAGCTGGCCGCTCTGCGCTCGAACCTGCGCGCGCTAACGCGGCCGCAGCGATGTGCCAGCCAGCGCCAAGCAGTCATCGCAATCGCCGCCTCGTGGGTTTTGCAAACCATGTTGGGGGTGGCTGGGTGGGATGATTGCGTGAGCAGAGTCGTTGACAATTTCAAGTGCGGCAGGGTGAGTCGGGCCACGTAGTTTGCACACCATAGGGTGCACCGCATATGTTGCGCAACATATTCTGTCCCACATCGACTGCATTCCATATATGGCTCCTCCTAGATCGCACGAACATCGCTGGCTAGAAACATTGTTTGGGGGCTACGCTGGCCAACCAGGTATTTCCTATGTTGGTTGCCCTCCACCCGGGGGCGCTTTCGGTATCTCTTGCCTGATGTTCCCGCTGCAGCGTTCTCCTAAATTGATGATTGGCGCCTTGCTCCCTACATCCAGAATGGCGCTCTCGTCCCAGCGCAGGCCCCTTTGTTGGATCTCAGTGCCTCCGCATCGTCGTCGCCCCGCTCCTTTCCCCTCCCCCCTCTTCCCTGGCATCCTGCTCCTGCCGCTCCTCCCACTCCTGCTCCTGTGCGGCTGCTGCTCCTCAAAATGAGGAGGCCGACGATGATCGTCATCCTCCTTCCTCATCCTGCTCATCCTCCTGCCCATCCGCTTCCTACTCCTCCTCTGTACGCAGCTCCTTTGCGTGATTCCGCATGGCACAATGGTGTCCTTTGGCGGGGCCAGGTCCGCTATAACACCCGTCGGCGGATTTAGAGACAACCAGCGTAATGGGAAGGAATGTGTGGGATGGGTAGGATGTCAGATTTGGCGCGAGTGCACCTACTTTGTCCTCCCTACATGCCTGCTTCTCCCATCCCGCTCACCCTTGAGGGGCACGCGTTGTGAAGTTATGCTATCCGTGGGGGCCCCTTCCAGCCCGGGAAGGTGGCCTCGAAAACGGGCGATGTGGAGAACTACGAGTTCCAGGCCGAGGTCGGAAAGGTTATGGACATTATCGTGAACTCGCTGTACTCCAACAAGGCTGCTGGGGGGGGGTGGGGGGGGGCAGGAGGGCACACGGCCCACACCTCCTGTCCACAGAGTCGGTCGCAGACCATGGGAGCCTCGTGTGCCCTCGCTATGCCGCCTTTGGAGTGCACTAGCGTCGACGAGCGTCTGGTTCGCAAGCCGTGTCGCACGAGAAATCGGCTAGGGAATGGACGCACGCTAGCCGCGCAGGAAGTGACCATCTGAGGTCAGAGAGCACACTCAAGCATATATGGGGCCAGTGGAAAAAGAACGCTGTTTAACAATTGCGTTCCAAATTAACGCGGTTGCCTGAAATTTGTTGGTGTCGTCGATTTGGCAGAGGCTATGGTGCGCCCGCCGAGGCGTGATCGTGCAGTGTGATCTCACACTCGTCAGCAACACGGCAAGCGGCGCTTTGTGCGACAAAACGTGCATCGCTGGTTTCCCACATGACGTCTCACGGAGCTCTCGATCCGGTTCCCGGGTCGTTCTTTGTCGGCCCCCAGGCCCCCAAAAGTGGGCCTCCAGAGGCCAAGACTGTGAACAGACGAGACTTGCCAATGTTATGTCACCAGCGCCTCCATCAGAGGACGTCTTCCTCCGCGAGCTCGTGTCCAACGCTGCCGACGCGTGCGACAAGAAGCGGTTCCTCGCCCTGACGGAGAGCGACGCACCGCCGGAGGCGATGAAGCTGCGGATCACGACCGACAAGGACCGACGGTGCGGTGCACCGAATGTCGACGCCGTCGTCATCGTCGTCGACGTCGTGTCGGATTCTGTGAGTGCTTGCCAGGGGAAAGTCGGGCCTGTCCCTCTACAGGAGGAATATTCAAAAATATTAAGATCATAGTCTGGGGACGATTTTCTCGTGATTCTTCACTCGTTGCGCATCTGTTTTGACTATCTCTCAGCTTTCGCCCAACATCCGCCTGTAGGGGGACATGCCCGACCTGATGCTAGGGATTCCCGGCGTCGTCGCCGAAGACGCGGTTCCGAGAATTGAGGCCGTGGCGGCTGGCCGTGGAGGAGGATCCTGGCTCCAGCCTCTGCGGCGGGAGAGTTCTGGACACGCCCAGGGGACCGGAGGGGTGATCATGACAGAAGAAGAAGAACAAACATTCAGGAGGGGGAAAAACGCACAGACACAATTAATCGTCCACTCCACGGAAAATATGGGAAAATATGGGCAGTGGGGGGGAAGACAGAAACCCAGAAAATATGGGAAAATATGGTGAATCCTTTTATTTGTGTGTATTTATTTGTGTGTCCCAGGGCCCCTTCAAACATAGATTTTTGGCGCTCCGCGCGGATTTCTTGGATCCGCGCTGGACCCCCCCTCCCAGGGGGGTCTCGGCGCAGATCCAAGAGATCCGCGCGGAGCGCCAGAAGTTTATTTGTATGGCGCTTTCAGAGTGACGGTCATGACGACCCCGCTAGCGGACAGGTAAACATCGGTATTATCGTCGTCATTGTCACAGCGGCATCCCGCTGGCTGGAAAGGAGGCATCGTCACATTATCATCATGATCGTCATCATTGTCGTCATTACCGTCATGATCGTCATCATTCGAACCCCCACCCTGCTAGGCCGACCGGCGCACTGCCGTGCTCGATGCCCTGTGCTGCGGCCGCGTTCTTTTCGTGGGCCCGCGCCCCGCCGGGTCTGGTCTCGACCTCGCTCTCACGAAGGGAGGTTTTGCCAAGGGGGTTTCTGCTCACACCCGACAGGATCGATGGTGCACACGAAGTCGTCGTCGTCGTCGTCGTCGTCGTCGTCGTCGTCGTCGTCGTCGTCGTCGTCGTCGTCGTCGTCATTTCGGACTTTGCTTGGGAGTCAAGGGGTCAGTGCTGGTCCCGAGGTGTCGTTCCCTCCCCTGCCCTTTCGGGAGCGGAAAAGAGGGGGGTGATGACTGGGGGGGGGTGGATTTCATGGCGCGGGTCATGATCTTTCCTCAGATTTCATGGCGCCTCTTCTTATTTCATTACGTCCCTGGCCCCCCCGCTGGGCCGCGCCCCCCCCCTCTTGGACACCCCCCCCCTCTTGGACCCCCCCCTCTTGGACACCCCCCTCTTGGCCGCTCCCGACCCTTGGTTGCCGCTGCTCTCGGGCCCTGCAGCTCGCGTCGGCACCTATGTATTATGTATGGCGGGCGAGGCGGGGCGGCCGTGCAAGACGACGGGTGCTGCTCCCTGGCCGAGCAGGCGTCGTCGGCTGGAGGTTCCCACAGCTTGCGTCGGTGACCTCCTGGGTGCCCCAATCGGGGGCGGCAAAGAGGGGGGTGATGACTAGGGGGGGGTGGATATCATGGCGTGGGCCATGATATTTCCCCAGATTTCATGGCGCCTCTTCTTGTTTCATTACGTCCCTGGCCCCCCTTTGGGCCGAGCACATGTCGCCGGCCATGATTTGCACCCCCCCCCTCTTGGAGGCCCCCCTCTTGGCCGCTCCCGTCCCCAGCGGCTTCTCGAGCTCACCGGCCAGGGAGGCCCTCCACAGGCGGTCCCTCTTTATTCCTGGTTTTGCCGATGGGCGCGGGCCCTCGCACCTCCCCTCTCCCCCCTGTGGAGTAGGTCTGGGCTGTTTTTGGCGCCTGTGTCAGGTAGGTGGGGTCTCCCCCATAGGTCGGGGGTGGACAGAACCCCCAACAGTGACACGTCGATTAGTGAATTGTCCGTTTTCGGTTCTCGAGAGGGCGCCGTGGCCGTTATTTTCCAGGCTTGCGCCCGCCAGGTTTGGGCCTCAGGTCGTTTTCACTAAACCACGTTTTACTAAAGGGGGGTCTGTCCATCCCCGAATAGGACGCACTGTTGCAAACAGTCGCATTCAGCAGAGGTCCAGAGCCAAACGTCCCCCCCTTTCTGCCCAGTGTCGAAGCGCCGAATCAGAAAACGTACACCATGTGCATGTGTAGCAAGAGCTTGGCTGCATCGCTGTACCCTTCGAGCGTCTGGCCGTGGGGACTCTAGTGGTCCTCGTCGTCGCCGCCGGACGCGGCTCGGATGGCTGTCCGTGCGGGGCCCCAGGAGAGGCCGAGCTCTTGCTTTGCGACGAGAACTTCTGAGAACACGCCCGAAGATCGGAGTGCGATAGAACCCTCATTTTGCTCGGTAGCAAATCATGGGAGCTTGGCGTACCCTGTCGATTCCGTCATCATCGTCGATTAGCGTCTGGGAGTCCATGAGATAGCGTTGATTTAGCGTCGGTCAGCGTCGATTAGCGTCGATCAGCGTTGATCAGCGTCGATTCGCAAGAGCCGACAAGAGGGTATGGGAGGCTCCCATGAGTTGCCACCGAAATTTTGCCGAGTTGAGTGGCGAGCTGCCCTCTGCTCGCTTCTCGTGGGGCTGCTTCGTCCGCAGTGCGTTGCGGGCCTGCGCGAACGCAGCCATTCTGTCGGGCGAAGAGAACTATGCACATGCACCGATCTTGGCAAGGCCCATCCCTGACCCAGGATCGGTACATGTGCCTTCCTGGCCAAGGCAGGAGGGCGTGTGCACCGATCCTGGCCCTCAGGATGGGCCTGGCCAGAATCGGTGTGTGTGTGTGGCGTCCTGGGGTCTCAGGGTCGGGCGTCCTGCGGAAGACTTCTTCTCCTGATGGTCGAGCTCCCGCTGCGCGCCCAAGCTTCTCGGAGAGAGGAGAAGCGCACCCTGATGATCGAGGACAACGGCGTGGGCATGCAGAAGGCGGAGCTGGTGGAGAACCTGGGGCGCATCGCCCGCTCGGGCAACCCCGGGGCGGTCCGAAGGGAGTGGGCCTCGGGGAGGGTCCAGGAGGGGGGTCTGAAGGCCGTCGGTCGAAGGAGGACAAGCGGGCACCCTGCGCTCCCGCTGCGCGCTGTGCGCCACGCAGCGGTCGTCTCCCCCTTCGTCCTCGCGTCCTCCTCCTCCTCCTTCCTTCGTCCCCCTTCCCCCTTCCTCCTCCTCCTCCTCCTCCTCCTCCTCCTCCTCCTCGTGCTTCCTCTTCGTCCTCTTCCGCCTTCCCCCTTCGTCCTCCTCCTCTCCTTGGCTCCTCTCTGCGCTGCAGCGCCGCCGCCCTGCGCGCGCCCGCCCGCGAGGGCGGCCGGGCGCGGCCGCCAGAGGCTCGTTCTCCTTCGGCCTGGGCCGGGAGCTGCGGCACGGCCTCTTGGATGTGCGTTTGCTTTCTGTCTGCTGGGCTGGCCGGCTGGCCGGATGGCTGGTTGGTAAGCCTGCTCTCAGGCTGGCTGGATGGCAGGCATGGTGCTCGAGTTGCTTCTTTTTCGTTGGGGGGGTGCATCGACCCCCACTCGCCCATGGATCGCCGACAGGGGCCCGACAGCCCCAACCTGTCCAGGACGGTGCGGATTCAACATCGGGGGCCTATCGCGGATCCAGCGGCGGTGCAATGCCGATTCCAGGTCGATCTGTCTCCCCCTGTGACAGTCCCCCCCGATCGCGGTCCCCAACGCATCAGTTGCCTAAGTATAAACTTGCTTATCCTCCTTCCCTGGCGTGCAAGGCGCGCCGGGGGCGGTGCAGGAGACGCCGCCAGGGGGGTCCAGCGACGACTCGAGAAATCTGCGCGAAGCCTCGACAGTTCTGCTGACGTCGCCTCCTTTTCTTCCAGGAGGAGGAGGAGGAGGAGGAGGAGGAGGAGGGTCGATGGTCTTCGAGAGCCTATACACCTGGCAGATGGATCTTATAATCGTGGCGCGACTCCCTCGATTTCCGCTCGTGGGAGCGAGTTTCGGGGCCTAGTGCCATCAGAGAACGGTCGGGGGTGACAAAACGGCCCCTGTGGGAAGTGGTGGAGAGTTCTGGGGATCTGGCATCAGGAGAAGCACCACGTGCGTCGGACGTCCGCGTGGAATCGAGGGGTTCCCAGAGCGGTGTCTGCTTGAGGCTCGGCGCGGGACCCTTCCACGCCTGAGCGCTCTTTCTTCCCCTCCCCCCGCGTGGCCGTCCTCGCCTCTGTCCCTCTCCCTGCACGTCGGCGGAGTAGCCACGCGGTTGCCCCGCTTGCCATACGCTGGAGCGGGCCGCCTCTGCCTCGCTGCCGCCTCCTCTGGGGCCTCCCGGGCCTGAGGAGGGCGCCACACCGCCGATGCTCAGAGGAGCAAGAGGTCATGATGATGCTGATGCTGCTGCTGATGTTGATGCTGCTGATGCTGCTGCTGATGATGAGGAGGATGATGAGAGTAATGAAATAATGGCGAAAATGATGCGGTGTAAGATTTCCTGGATTTCTTGATGTCCCACGCGGACTCCACAGGCAGAGGCTGCGAGATACTTCGGAATTCCTAGGCCGTGTCCTGAGTGAGTCGCAGCACGACGTCACTCTCGCCCAAGATGCATCGGTGATGCGGCGCGATCCCGATCCCGAGCTGTAATCACCCGCTATCGCCCGTGCATCGTTGATGCGGCGCGATTCTGGCGTCGTCGACTCCTGCCCCATCTGGTCGCCCTCCACCGAAAGGGCGGGCAATGGAAGTTGCGAAAACTTGCCTCTTCCAAGTACTCCGCCCAAGGAGGTCCTCAGTGGCCAGAGCCCACAACAAGGATGCAGCACTTCGTTTGGGCCAAGCACACTGCGTCCACAGCTCCGCGGCTGGTCCTATTCCCTGGTGATGTGCTTGCAGTGCGTCACCGAAGCCGACTCATCACCCGTTGTGTCTCGAAGCCAAGATCAGGGCAGCATACGGCCGGCCGCTGTCTAGTGCGCGGCCTTGCGTGGCAGTGCACGTGCGACATTTCCGGGTGTATTCGGTGGCCAAGATGCAGCTTCCAAGGGCCTCGCCCCGATGCTTCGCACCCTGCGGGCCTGCAGTCCAGCCCCCGACGCTCTCTGTTCCCCCCTCCTGTCTCGGAGGAGGGAGGGCGGGCTACCACAACAGGGCGGAGGCGTGGTCAGGGGGCGATGTCGACGACGGCCAAGTGTCTCGAGATCCGAGTTCGATGATTCGATAGTTGTTGATAGGTTGTTGTGTTGTTTTGCATGGCTTGTTTATGTTTCCTTTGGAGCGTGTCTGGTTCCTTTGAACCACCAGAGTCCCACGACTATTGTATGTATGTATGTACGTACGTATGTATGTGTGTGCGTATGTATGTAGGTTGGTAGGTAGTCAGGTAGGCAGGTAGGTACGTGTGGTATGTGTATGAAGGCATATGCATATGTTCAGGGATGTGTAAGCACACATCTATACATACGTACGTGTCTACATGTATGTATGTAGTTATGATTGTGTGTGTATGCATGCAAACATGCATGCATGCATGCGTGCGTGTATGTATATGTATGTATGCATGTATGCGAACATATGTATGTGTGCATGTATGCATGTATGCATGTATACAAGTATGTATGTAAGTATGTATTTCCGTATGTGTGTATGTGTGTATGTATGTATGTGTGTATGTATGCATGTATGTGTGTATGTATGTATGTGTGTATGTAGGTATGTATGTATGTATGTATGTATGCATGTATGGATGTATGTATGTATGTATGTATGCATGTATGTATATATGTATGTATATGTGTGTATGTGTATGTGTGTATGTATGTATGTATGTATGTATGTATGTATGTATGTATGTATGTTTGTGTGTGTATGTATGTATGTATGTATGTATATATGTATGTATGTGTGTATGTATGTAGGTATGTATGTATGTGTGTATGTGTGTGTATGTATGTATGGATGTATGCGTGTACACATGTGATATGTGTATATGGCTGTGTGTGTTTGTCTGCATGTCTGCATGTATGACTGTGTGTATGCATGCATGCATGTTTGTATGCCTGTATGTATGTATGTATGTATGTATGTATGTATGTATGTATGTGTGTACGTGCGTGCGTACGCACGCGTGTACGTATGTATGTGTGTATGTATGTATGCATGCATGTATGCATGTACGCATCTGCGTACGAATGTCGGTGTGTGTAACGGTGGATGTGTATGGATGTGTGTATGCATGTATGCATGCATGTGTGTTTGTGTGTATGTGTGTGCTTATAAGCAAGTTTAAACTTACACATAACGTTTGCATGCATGTATGGCTATATGGTTACACTGTTGCAGGTATGAATGATTGTATGTATTGATGCATGCGTTAATGTATGACTAGATGTGTTTGTTTG